GAGAATGATGGGAAATCGATAGTAGCAGAGAAGAAGCGGGAGAGACTGTTTAGCAGGAACCGATTACCGCCGTTTTTTGTCCCATCAAATGTGCCATTGAAAAAGACTAAACAAATGAGTGTCTTTCTCTTTCAATTGTTCAGGCAAATCGACTGGCTTTGTGACCACGACCCGGGTAACACATGCCACACCGGCGGCCTTCTACGCTCATGCGGCTAATCGATACTGGGAGAGCGACGACAAGGTGCCCAAGGAGGCACGCTCACTCTGCAAAGACATTGCCCGACAGCTGATCGAAGACGAACCTGGACGGAATTTAAATGTAAGTCAGTGCACCTGCTGCACAGAGACAAAAAAACAACAAAATAAAAATGTCGCAACCCTACGATTAACTGTTGTTGTTCTTCTTCCTCTTTTTTGCAGGTCATCATGGGTGGCGGGTCTCGGCACTTTGAACCTCGCAGTGCCGACAATCCGGCGGGGAAACGAAGCGACGGACGAAACCTGACGGCCGCCTGGCTGGAGGACAAACGACGCCGTGGTCTCCACGGCAGCGTAGTCGCCAATCGGCGGCAGCTGATGCAGCTAAACAGCAGTAAAGTGGATTACCTTCTAGGTAAGTTGGGTAGTTGTTGAATTCTGGAGAAAGAGCAAAAGCTTAGGCTACAGAAAAAATATCAAGGTCGGGGAAGACTACTTAGAGGACTACTGATCGGGTATTAGCCAAGACTAAACTGGCTTTCTCTTTTTGTTTTATTGATTCACCCAGGACTCTTTTCCTCGAACCACCTCGCCCACGAGGCTGACCGCGACAAATCGGATTACGGCGAGCCGTCGTTGGCGGAGATGACGCTGGCCGCCGTGCAGGTGCTCAAGCACAACCCAAACGGCTTCCTCCTCGTCGTCGAGAGTGGCCGCATCGACCACGCCCACCACCAGAACAACGCCTACCGGGCGCTGACGGACACGCTGGCGCTGGAGGCGGCCGTGGAGCAGGTGCTGGCAGCGGTCAACCGCAGCACCCCCCTCCTCCTGGTCACTGCAGACCATTCGCACGTGCTGACGCTGGGCGGCTCCTTCCCAGGGAGGGGCAATCCGATTCTGGGGCTGGACGCTTCGCTCTCTGACGTCGACGGTCTGCCCTACACGACGCTGCTGTACGCAAATGGTCCCGGATACGTGACGCCGGCCAATCGAAGCGCCACCAACTACTCAGGAACAGGTAAANGAGCAGGTGCTGGCAGCGGTCAACCGCAGCACCACCCTCCTCCTGGTCACTGCAGACCATTCGCACGTGCTGACGCTGGGCGGCTCCTTCCCAGGGAGGGGCAATCCGATTCTGGGGCTGGACGCTTCGCTCTCTGACGTCGACGGTCTGCCCTACACGACGCTGCTGTACGCAAATGGTCCCGGATACGTGACGCCGGCCAATCGAAGCGCCACCAACTACTCAGGAACAGGTAAACGTCCACTTATTACCATTAGGGGCATGTTTTCTCATTACCCAAAGAGGGCAAAACACACTTAACTTTTTTAGATTGGTAGTAGGCGACAAGTCAATCAGTGCAGTCAATATCACTTGCAAATCAAAACTATTAAGGCNGCGTCATTTCTCATTACCCAAAGAGGGCAAAAACACACTTAACTTTTTTAGATTGGTAGTAGGCGACAAGTCAATCAATGCAGTCAATATCACTTGCAAATCAAAACTATTAAGGCAAATTGATTAAGTGTGCAGTCAGGCGAGATACTGACTGACCAGTTTTAGTCAGGGAAACATGAAGCACACCTTTGAATGATCGGAAAACAACCTGCAGTGAATAGCTGACGTCTTTCTGAGTTGTGTACAAAATGCAGAAAATGGACACCGTTTCAGAGTAAAACCCAACACTGTACAGCAATTAAGCAGGAGGCAATGAGCTCGTTAAAAGCAAGCCAGTTTGTTTGCCAGTTTTCTGACTTGGAAATAGCTGGCAAAAGTGAACGATCGAGCGATCACACACACACAGCCCACACACTGACAGTTCAGCGGAAAGGGTCACCGCAAAAAAGTGACAACAGAGACGACGAGATGCGGTGCCGTACAAGTGAAAAGAAAAGTGATCTGCTGCAAGTCTCTGCTGCTCTTCAATTAGGGGTGGCAAGCTCGTAAAGTGTCGACCACGACCAAAACCACCGCAACCAACAAGCCAATAAACACGCCAGTGCGTTCACTCTGGCCATATATTTCCAGCGGCTCATTCAAATAAACTCGACACCGATAGTAAAAGGGCAAGTAAAGTATAGTATTCAAGATTCCGGGAAAAAACTGACGACGCACAAATCAAATTGGGCAACCCAGGGTGAAAGGAAGGGGTGCTTAGAACCTCGACAGGCATCATTTAGTCGGCAGAGGAAGTCAGAGAGTGTGTGCA